ATAGAAATATTGTACAATTGTGACACATAACAGCTCCACAAAGTCTACAATGATGTTTTCTTCTTGCGACATGAAAACTTTTTGCACAAGTAGGGCATAATTTTACATCTTTTTCATCTATCCATGGCACAATGGTGCGTTCATGAACTATCATAAAAAAAGTAAAATATTAGTTAATTTTTTTTGTAAAATGAATAATAAAATTTGTATTCTACCTTTTCTATCAACTGGATCAGATGGTAAATTGTTTAATAATTTGTCTAGTCTTATGAGAAGTTTATTTGTTTCTGTAGAGTAACGCTCCAATCTCATATTTCTTACTTCTTTAAAGTAGTTTGTATGTGACGTCATTGCACCTGAAAATTATTAGTACAATTATATAACGTTTTCTTTTAAAGGATTTATAAATCATTTTAAATTCTACAGATCTTTTGTTAACTTTTTAAAAGATAGCTTGAATATATTTGTTATCTTCTCCAGTGTATTATAAATTTCTTTTCTTCAAAGTAAAATTGTTGTAATATTAAATTTTTTAACATAAATCAATATCAAAGAGGATTTTCTCTTTGTCAATACCTATTTCTTGAGGTCCCCAATTAAGTTCTGGACTACGTTGCCTAGTAGTTGATGGTATATTATTTGCAAAAGAATCTGACATTTCATCTTGCTTTAAAATCTTCTTTTTAGCCTTACCAAAAAGATCTAGAAAAATAAAATGATTTAAATATTTGTGACACACTTATTTTTAAAATACATTATCAATTTTTATAATCCATTAATATGTTTGTTTAATAAAGATTAAAGAGGTATATTTATAAGATTATAAGATTTAAGGATAATTATGAAAGTTTGAAGTTTTACCTTTAAGCGACTTCAAAATTTCTGGATCATCTTTATGAAAATCCTCGAAATGTTTCGTTAATTGATTAGGTGCTTTGAAATCGGTCATACATATTGGACAAATAAATCCTTCTAATACTTCCTCGCAGCCAGCCATTGTAAAATTTTATATTTAAAGGATTTCTATCTTTTTTTGTAATTTCTTCTTAACTTATACTCCACAGAAATCATTTGTAGGCGTCTCTTCAATCGTGGATAAGCAACATGTTTTCTGAGCAGCCATATTGAATCCTATCAGCTGAGAGAAATGTCAAATTTCTTTTACATAATTCTTAATAAAAGTTAATTAATAAAAGCTTAATAAAAGTTAATTTTTAAAATTAATTTTCTGACCTATTTCCATGATTTATTTGGATAAAAACCTTGGACAATTAATATTTTATTTCTGGACATTGTGTTCTATTATTAATTAGAAAGTATTTGCATTATACATATAAAATACTTTCTTGTAATTTTAAGAATAATTAAAACTATTTAAAAAATTGTACAGACCATTTATTCGATAAATGTACAAATTCATAATAGCTATAGGTACATAAGATGTTATAAATCTCTCATAAAAATATTTCACGAATAACTTAGCAATAATTGAGTAGTTAACAAAGACAGTCTTAATGATAATTACATTTCTACAAGATTCTGATTAAAAATAAAACAGTTATTACATTTGATCTTGTGTGTAAATAAAAGGAAATTTCTATTGTGTTATCGACAATTCAAGTAGTTTATCGCCTAAAATCCGAAATTCCTCTGAGGCTTCACAATGCTGTAAAAGATTACTACTAATTTTTTCTTCTCCATAATATGCACCGGCTATCGCTCCAGTCATACTACCAATGGTATCTGTATCACCACCTAAACTGATCTGAAAAGTAATTTTTGTTTTATGTATAATTTTTAATTAAAGAGAAAAAATCATTGATATTAATAATCATAATCATTAATCTTTATCATTATTTTACTCAGAGAGGTAATATATTGTATTTACAGCATATTGAACTGCTCTTCTGAAAGGATTATCTGTCTGTATACCCGTGATTGGTTTTTGTGCTCTTAAAAAACAAAATATTGCAGTAGGTACTGAATACAAAGCTGCAACACTATTTCCCAACTTTTGTATCACTTTTTCATCGTGTGAGCCTTCACTACCTTCAGATATTAGTGATTTTACCATACATAGCTGTACTTTGTATGGTTGCGGTTCTGACAAACCTAATCTGCGAAAAATAAACATTTTAAACAAACAATAATTTTTAAAATTGTATTATCTGTATGTTACCCTTCTTCATCTTTTTCTATTTGGTCCATTTTATGAATCAAATCATCAATAAAATTTGTTACATTTAATTCTTCATTTGGATTTAAATGCAGACTTTGATAAATTGCTGTTGCCTGAAAAATAATAAAAATATATTTGGATTATAATTACTCAATGAGACTATAACATGTTAATGAATTTATAAGCACAATTACTTGCAAAATAGCTCCATCTATTCCAACTTTATGAGTATGAGTAATCTGAGTCACTTTCCTAACTGTATCTAAAAGTTTATCATAGTTTTGATATGAGAATAGTGCAATAGGTGCAATTCTCATTGCACCACCATTTCCCCATGACCCTTGTCCATTAAACTGCTCTTTGGCTGGACTTACAATGTCTGTAAATTTGTTACCCCGTAATTTTTGAAATACCTTTAACAAAATTTGAATCTCGGAATTAATCTCTGTGTCAGGATTACAAAATTATGATAGATGTAACATCATACCGTTACAACACCCATACCATAGCCTCGATTAGGTTCTTGGTAATAACTTTTAACAAATCTTTTTGCAACATCAACGACGTCTAATTCCTTCTGGTCAACCAGAGATTTAGCCAAAGAGTAAGTCATAGCAGAATCATCTGTAAACTGCATGACAGGTGCTATAGAATTAAAAAAAATGTTCTATAGAAAAATACTATTATTTCTAAATTTTATATTATTTTATAGAATGATGACTTTTTTAAATACATACCTTTGAATGGTGGACCTTCCAGTTTATTAAATGATTTTTGTAAAACTAATTTCATGCCGCTTGTTAACTGATCGCCGCTATCATAAGGGCTACCAGTGCAATCGCCGATTAAAGCACCAAGCATTGTACCGCGAAATTTGCTTTTTAATAATGATAAATCCATTTTTGCCATAACCTTCTTGCACCACAAACCCTTTAACTAAATTTGCGGGTTTGCGAACACTTTGATGTAAGACTTAATATGATGTTTAAAGTGATATCAAAGTAAATATTATGTTACGAATGTCGATTACTCAGATAAATAATGATAAAGATAAAAAAGATAGTTGTAATAAAAATAATGTAAATATCAATCTGATCACTTAACTTATGGACATTTTATTATACTTTATACCACACTTGATTATATATACATATACATACATATCAAGTTATTTACCGGTACGGTAAGATGTCTCTGCTTGTAAGTTCGTAAGAGAAATTTAAAATAAAAAGTCAATGAATGTTATTACATATACTGTCATAGTTATAATAAGAAATTATAACTACTGCTACTACTAATCTAAATCAGTACAAATCGAATCAATAAATCGAAATTTAGTTTTGTTTTTTTTAATATAAATAATATAAATGAAATGTAATCCGTTATTATATCATTTCAACTCGTAAAAAAATTAATTTTCATATATCCTTCTGATTTTTATGGAATAAAGTCGATGACAGTGCGCATTTAACATATAATGAAATTTAATAATTTATCGATTATTAGTCGAATTGCAATTTTCCGAAGCAATCTTTTTATAATTGTAGTGCACTGCATTTTAAAAAATTAGTATCCAATTTTGCAAATCAATCTTCATGATACTAATCAAATTTTCCATTCTTTTACCAGTTATTTTATGAAATTATAGTTTTTATAGTTTATTTCTTAATGTTCTGTTTAAATTATATCCGATATGAATTGAGAAAATTTTATAAATTTTTTTCATAAGTTTGTTTTTCTTATATTTATAATGCAAAAAGAAATAATAAAAATAAGATGCGACTTTAATTAGCTTATTATTAGGGACGAAAGTAGCATGTATTAAATTTTGGTAAAGCTTGTATGTTGATGGTATTATGTGTTGGTAACTTTCCGATATAACTTTATTTATAATAGAATAATTGTGCTTGGATGTATGTCCTATTTGCATCAAGAAATAACATTATTGCAGAGATCGCTCACAAAAGAGAAGATAATGTAACATAAAAAAATATTCTTAATTATTCTAAAATGCTTTAAATATTTTAAACAAAAAATTTATTACAATATTTTGATTTTATTTTATTCAAAGAATGTGGTTCAATATCTTTCTGTATAAAAAGAAAAATTTTTAAATATATAGGATAATTAAAAAATCTAATTGTATATTCTTTCGATAAAATTATGTATTTTTCGATTATAGATCGGCTTCCCCGATATTTTATAAATAGGTATATTGACTTAGGCCATTAAAGATCAAATATTTCATACGAGGAGAAATAAGAGGAAGAAACAAGTAGTCAGTTAACAATATTCAAACCTTCTAGTGAAAGGGGAAAGTGCTATTAATTAAACAAATCTCTCCTTAGTACATTTATAATTTCAAAAGGTACAAAAATCGATACGATCATAAAATCAAGAGGAATATGGTTAAATAAACATAATTTCAGAAGATACGAAGACACATGTATATGTTCTTTCTGTTGTTAAATAACATAACAATATAACCAAACCATCTGATGGAGGGGGAAACAACCTTGAATAATTAAAATCTCTTAGGATAAGTATCATTCTAAGAGGTATGTACAAAATCAGGCAACCCTATCTTCTAAACAATCTCATCATTCAAACAATTTTCATAACACAATGTATTCCTTGCAGTATGTAAAAAAGAGGGATGAGGAGAGATAAAGGAGAATAGGCGAGCAAGTCGGTGGGGAAACAGAAAGGAGCTCGCTCGTTAAGGGTAGTTTCCTTCCGTGGGGAAGGATCGTATGGGGGCGAAAAAGAAGGAGGGCGACGATTGGGCGGGGCAGAGGATGCGTGGTCCGGTCTAACCCGGCCACATCCAGTCTGCCGCCGACTACGTAGTTGCGCAGTATCGTTGTTGAGCGTTGTGTGTGCCACTAGAAGAGGATATAAACGGTATGCCGGTGCTCGGGCTAGCCTGACTCTCTTTCTCCGGTCCTTCGTCGAACGTCGCGTCTCTTCCTCGACCCAGGGTCGTTCACCCTGCAAGTCCAGCGTGCTCGCGTTGTCCTTCAAAAAAACGAATACATACTCTGTTTTCCTGTTTCTCTCTCTGTGGCCTCCTTCGTCTGGCCCATCACGTCCTGATCGAATTCCCAGCGAGTTGGCTGACATTTCTTTCTACGCGGAGAAACGTAAGCGACTTCTCTCTGTTATCTTGCCGCCAGGCTGTTGCCATTTTTGTGCGCTCGCGCGAGTCAAGGAAACTGTATACTTGATAGATAAGGTTATTGTAAGGAGGTTAGAAAAGGATATTTTCATTCTTATACCGTTGATTTTTTTTAGAGATTTCTGTGTTTGTCGTTGTTAGGCTTGATTTTGTATGTTGAGCATTATGATTGTTTTGGGGTAAATGGGGCTCAATTGATTCGCCAGGATTAAATAAATTAGTAATGAATTGAATATTTAAAAAGGTTGATAATAGATTGGATATTTAAGAAAGGATAATCAAAATATTTTCGTATTTTTTACATTTATTATTAGATTTTAAAAATTGATAAAAGCATTATTGTATTCTATTCACTGTAACATAGTTATTCTATTCTGTGTGCTAATATTTTCTAGGGGAAATTTAGATAAATAGAGACAACTTTTATTTGTTAAATAGAGGTAATCAAGACAAGAGTAAAAATGTGTTATTCCAGATAATTACATTTTCTGTCTTATACAAATATTATTATTTTCCTCAAAATCTATACAAATATTATACTCTATTCACTATAACATTGCTACTCTAGAGTGCTAATATTTTCTAGATGAAGCTATATAATGAATCAAACAGATAGTATTCTTTTTGTGTCTTTTATATCCGTTGTTACTTTTCTAAATTATACAAGTTCCATTAGGTATTTTATTTACTATAATGTTAAATACTAATACTTTTTAGCATTGAACTGAATAGTTTCCAATAAAACATCTATTTATGTCTTTTTTAACAGAAAATAAATTAGGATAGTAAGAGATAATTTCAGATTTTTTGGCAACGATATTTCGTTTTCAAAATTAATAGCCAAATACAGGTGCGAGCGTTACGTAATGTTATTTTACCGCGCGCCCCGGTGTGGCAAATTGTCCTTTGTTTCTATTGTTCTCTAGTAAGGGACGATATTTTATACTTATTCCATGCTGTTTCCGTAAGCTAATAAGATTTATTATGGTACGGCAACGTGTTGTACGACACGAGCGAAATAATCTTTACACGCGATAGATGCACAAATAAAAAAATGCAGTTCCTATATTTTGTTAGTTCAAAAGAAGAAATGGTCTTACAATTGTGGACAAGTTAGAAACTTTCTTTGAAGAGTAATAGTAGCAATATCTCGAGTGGATGCTCGCGTAGCCGGGTGAAATATTTAAGCTAGTTTAAACATAGAGCCATTCACGTTGGACATCCTTTCACTTTGACCAGTATGAAAGGATACTAAATTTTTCAACCGTAATAATAAACGATAATGTGCACTGTTAAGTCGAGTACTTAATATTATCACTATTCCTCTTTTCGTTCGTGTAATCAATATCGTTTTTCAAAGTGGTAGCAGGATATTTAATTTTTAAATTACTTACGCAATTCAATTTAGTTTTCAAATATGAGAGAATAGTATATTAGTTACAATAATAAATGATAACACGCCAAATCTCTTTATAAAATAGCATGCAGTATTCTTTTTACTTATCATTTTTACATATTTTTAAATATTTTCTGTAACATCATGAAAAAGTATTCAACTATGTAATCATCAGCATATGTACAGTAATGCAATATTTTTATATAGTATTATTACACATTTTTAAATCTTGTTTATACAATAATAAAAGCATATTCGATTTCGAAGCATTTTTTAACTTACTTTTAAGTCTTCTATTATGAAGATATTTAAATTGTAATATTTTGAAACATTATCTGTTACTGTTGATTTTTATAATCATTTGCCACAAAATCAGTGAAATTTATTGACTTAATCGCGTAATTGAGTTTACATTCAATCGGTGTCATTAAGTCCATTTTATCCGTCAGTAGAACGAATGCGTAATGTAGATGATGGTAACGAAGATGTAAAGCTGGTTTATTGTCGAAACGGTACGCGGCCATCGCCATAGAAAAGCAATTCGCCGGAAGATTTAATGCGGTGTGTAGCTAATTTCTTGCACGCATGGTATTCGGTTTACTTCACCGTCTATTTTTGATGGTACAAGAGCTGATCTGAAAATTTACTTCTGACAATAAGCATGTCTCCATTATCATTTAGAATAGATATATACATTTTTATAATGAGTCATTATCAATAATACATATCAAATGCGCAAATAATTAAAAGAGATTTATTGATATAGCAGTATATATTTTCTATATTTGAATAATATACGTAAAATCAAAGAAAAGCATTCCCTACAGAATATTATATTAAAATATTGCTAGAAAATTCTTTTCTTTGATGTTATATTTTATGAGGACATTATTATAAAATAATTAGCAAATTTTTTTCTCATGGCAAAGGAGAATAGTATAGACTGATTTGCATGAATTAATTAATTCGTTTTCACCGTTCTAGTAACGAACATATAAAAGTGGGTAATGAGGGCCGCAATTAACGATTTGCGTAGCTTTACAGTAACTTCGTAGAAAAGTATGTCCCGAAGTAAACTCGTGTTTTACCTTACCGCGACATTATCGGCCATAATATTTGCATTTCTTTAAAAAGTCTCTTATATTAGGCATTTTTGATTACATCGAAAATTCGACGAATAAGTGAAACTACATAACTTACGGATATTATTATACATTTAGTTATATTTAATTATCTAAAACTTTATTTACATTATTTACTTTACAATAATTGCTTGAAGGATGTCGAAAGTTAACGGACTTCACATGAATAATTTAAATTTGGAAATCAATAAAGATAGTAATCAATATACAATAAAAATAGTATTCTCTGAATGTGATCAAGCAAACGAATTAAAGGATTCATTACTCTAATTACACCAACCTAATGTTGACATGAATAGGTACTACACTATATATAGTCCGCGCTAACATTACAAAATTGTTCTAGAAAGAATTCTTGGTACACCCCAAGATTTACGATACTCATCATCCCCCACATTGAGAAGGTCGTAAAGGGGTTGAAGAGGGTTGTTGCAGAATGTGGGTGGATTTAAGCTGAGAGCATCGAAATTTATTCCAGAAATTCGCGCGTGCACTGCTTTTGCCAACTTTCCAATGAAACACCGAACAACTGTATATCTAATATACAGTATAGACTATAGGTATAGACACCCAATGTTGTAACGAGGCTATGTATCTTTCATTTATACATGTATGTGTCACATAATAGCCATATACCTATACGCCTATGAAAAATAAAAATTCACTTTATCTATCGATCCTCGGCGGTCACATATGGGTACAATCATGATTCATTCCAACTTTACAACCATTTTTCTTTTTTGCGTTTCTCGCAACGGATACATAGAAAACGATAAAACGATTGTTACTTTCGTCGCGCGACAGCTTTTTATTCGGAGAAATTTAGGAACAGATTAGCGCAGTTAAAACAGGTGCTTCGATGTTTGTTGGAATAAATTGAATATGTTGGCTTTGCTGTGCAATATTTTGTAGATGATAAAGCTGATTTAGGACTGGTTCTTGATGTAGGAAGGATGAAGATGAATTTTAATGTTTCAATTTTTTGTGATAAGAAGAATAATAATCCTTTTTCGGAATGAAGATGAATTTTAATGTGTAACATGGGAAGGGAAACTGATTGTTTTACTAGAGAACAACCACCATAAAATATTTCAAGTCGGTTGCCACGTGAAAAAAAGTTCTAGAAATAGATTGAACCTCATATGTAGTTGGGAAGCAAAACGCTGAAAGCTATTCTTCCGAGTGAAAATCAATTTTAAAATGAATGAACACCAGCGTACACGATCTGCATATACAGAGAAAGAAATCGCCGGAATCGATAAGTCGATTCTTTGTCCGATGTTTCACCGTGTTTGTGTTCGTTTATTCATTGCCTTTTTCGGTTTACTTTACTCTCGAAACAAAGTAATTTAATATTGTACAAAATACAGCTCACGAAAGTATTCGGATATTTGTAAAAACTTTTTATGAACATATTATGTGTACTATGCGAAATATTTTGAATTTTCCTTCGAACAGTATAATAGGAGCATCATGATTATATTGAAGAAGTTTGAGAGAATCTGAAAATTATATATAGTAATATATACAGAAAATGTACTAGAAATAGTAAATGTCTTGTAACTTTCATATACATTTTCAATTGGTTCCAAATTTTATCAATGTAATATACTTGTAGATTTGTATATTTGTATGTTTGATACTCTATATAGTACAGTATGAAAGTTTCCTGTGCATTTACATTTGCACCTTAAAATCAATTTCCACGTCCATGTCAAAATCAGGTTTCGTAATTGAATAACAGTAAGTGCTACATAATTGATTGAATAAATATTCTGCGATCATAGTGATATCAATTATAATATATTTCGAAATCAAAAGAGATTTAATCAGGTTTTATGGTTTAATTAAATTATCGTTCTATAATTATGATAATATTGATTATAGTCTATTTCAAAGTTAACGTATTGTCAACTGCATGAATGAGATATTACTAGGCGCTTCTAGTAAGTTTCCTAGGGGCATTTCTAAAAATCCTATACTACAAGAATTTAATAATGAGAAATTAAAAGGAAATATTCTGTTGTTTTTCTGATCACATTATAAGAAAGAGTTTGTTAGAATAAAGTATAAAAATGTTTCTCCTAATTTATTAGAAAAACTAAGATCTGTTAGAATGAAGCAAAAATCTGCTTCTTCTAATTTGTTAGGAAACTAAGGAGACTAAGAAAACTAGAATAGAAAATGGAGAATTTTCTCAAGCGGTTGGCCATGTGTTGTAGTAGAATTAATTTGGGACAACTATTGAAACAATCTGTTCGAGTTCACCAGAGGGTGTGAATTGGAATGAAACGATTTGAAAATGTCATTAGGGGGACCCTTTGAACCATCATCGATTCTTGAAAGGAGGTAGCGATGCCTGACGAGCATCCCCACACGTTTATCTTTTTCTCTCTTTGCTTCTTTACAGAACACGGTTGTGACATCGCGTTTGATTCAATAGGCGTTAACCGAGTGACCTGAATCTTGCCAACCGTATGGTAACCTTACGTAATTTCATCTTTTTTCTATTTTTCTTTTTTACAAAAATTACTGGAAGGACTTGTTGGTAAAGAAAGAAACATATAATACCAGAGAATAAAATCAGTCATCTTAAGCTGAATATTATGTACATTATCATTCACAAGTTTCTGGATACTTGCTTCTTTTTAACAAGATGTATCTTAACCCCTTAACCTACAATGATCGGACCAAACGTAAATTCTCAAACGTAAATCGTAGGTTAAGGAGTTAATAAGCATAAAGTTATAAATAAGGAATTAATAAGTACATATACTACCTTATACAATATTACCGAAAAAAGTAAAAAAATATATAAAACAAGGAACCAGCATATAAAAATCACCTCAAACTACTTCAAATCTACATGATACGCCCACTCATACTTTAAGTAGAACAAGGCGCTATCGAGTCAGACCACGCGACTCGCAACACGTGGCTCCGTCAATCAGAGAGTTTTTAATTCATTAAAAGAATCGATTGACATCGTTTGATCTGATTTTGACATTAATTTACTCTCTGAATATCAGTACGTAAATATTTGATTCGACTTGGATTTCGGTTTGCCGTTCCAACGCGCTTACGTGTACAAAAGCCAGACACGTAGTAGCTGCAGCTTTAAATCCGTCATTTTACAACTGCTTCCATGAATCTGCCACATGCATTCGGCTATCGTTGGCTTGCCGGATGTTTATGGAAGCCTCGTACTAGGCCGTATATGTAAAATACATGGCAACCAGTGCATATTTATGGAACACCGTTTGAAATTGTTCCTCCTGTTTGTCAGTCGAATCTCGAAGAACGAATGAATTTTTTCTGAGTTTTTACTGTACTGTATGAATTTTTTACTGAGTATTGACTGTGAAGCGTGAATTTTTCTTTTTCGGAGTTTTATATAATATTTTTTGATGTAATAGAATTAGGTTTGAGTCCTCTATTATATTTGCTCTTGATGCTGAATCAAAGAGATTTACGCGAATTTTAGTAAATAGTTCTTTTTTCGAAGATACAAAATTCCTATTGTGTGGAGTGTGTATTTTTCTTCTTGGACTTTTATGTAACATTTTGTTGATATGGTAAAGATAGTTTCGGATTCTCCATAATATTTCTTCCTGACGTTAAGTAAAATAGATTCATTTCAATTTTTATAGCTATTCTCGTTGTACTATGAAAACATTCATTGTGAGTTATGGATCTTCTCCTCCGTATTTTAGAAATTTAACGTTACGTTTTGTTGATGCATAAAGTTACATTTGGATTTCCTCTAATATTTCTCTTTGATGCAGATTGGAAGATATCAGAACTTACGAAGTATGTATTTATTTAAAAATGTGAATTTCCCTCTTTGAAAGTTCTATGCAATATTTTATTAATGCATTAGTATCAGATTTGCGTTCTCTCTAATATTTTCTCTTGACGTTGTACTTCGTATTAATTTTTCTGAGTATTCTTTCTGTATTGGAAATATTACTGTGGAAACGTATGACATATTTATAGCAAGTTGTGGATGTTTTTTTTTAAATTTTATGCAACATTCTTTTGGTGCTTTAAAAGCAGAGGTCTTTGGGAAGAATGGAAAAGAAAAGTTCTTTAGTATTTTGTTGTTAAAATTTTAGGTTTACGAATTGAGGAGCATTTAAGATTGATGGGCGCCTGAGGACCGAAATTCGAACTTCGCGCGTCGAAAGTCAGGACGCAAAAGTTTTAATTGCTTGTATTTTAAAAACGAAGTATCGGAAAACAAAATGTTAAAAGATTTTTCGATTTCTTTTAATATAAGGAATTAATATAAATATCAATAATATAGGCATTGATAGTTTATATATTCTGGAATGTTTAAATTTCTGTTGTGGTAAATAGTTTTATCTATGCCTATTCGAGATCATTTTAAGTTCTGACAAAATTTTAAAAAAATTGATACTTAGCTTTCTGGAGGTTTTATTGATCTTAAGCCTGATTAATGATTTACCTTATCTACTTTCAAATTTAAAGTTGAATCTCCTCAATCCCTTATCGATCAAATTGTCACTATTACGTCATATTAATTGGATTTTTAAAATAGATAAAATTTACGAACACGCAGTTATCTTCACTGATTTATTCTTATACAGTGGCGGCCAAAAGTCTCTAATTGTATTTCAAATGCAGAAAATTTAATTGTTCTGTACTTTATAAACCACTCCACGTTCTATAAGTACACTTTTTAAAAATTCATTATTTTGACAATATAATAAATCTACTTTGTGGTTGGACACTTTTGTATTGGAATGTTTTATGTTAATATAATTATATTTAATAATGTATATAACAGTCATTATAAACTATTATATTACTGGTTATCACATTAATGGTAAAAAATTTATAAGCAAACAATCTAAAATTATTAAAATATAATTAATATTTGAATTAACTTAAAACCATCTTTTTTCAGACTCTGGTCTAGCATTCTTTCTTCAATCCTTCTTTTAACTATTAAAACTGGAAATATAGGCAAGAGGGCAATACAAAATAACGAATGGAGAGGGATGAAGTAATCGTGGTGTGACCTTGAACGAATCAAGAGGAGGGCATCTGATAAATTGAAAAACAAAAGAATTTCGTCGGACAAGAAACGTTGAGCTGATCACAAATGGCTACGCCGCCGGATTCGCCAGGACCGGAAGAGGCTCTGTTTGATTTCGAAAGCACACGAACCAGGCAACAAACCACCAGACCTGTCGCCCTCGAGGAACTGCTTCGACAGACCAAATTCTCCAGACAAGAAATACGAGTGATGTACCGTGGCTTCAAGCAGGTAAGCCACGTTGAATCTGAAAATACAGCCGATGATACAGAATTGCGGTTCCTGGAACAATAAGTAGAGCCGTGAGTCACTCTTGGATGGTCTGGCCACTTTAATCCCCCGAGGACATTCCCAGTTAAAATTTCGTTTCTAAGCAGTGAGAAGATGTTTTAAATGAGGGATTAAATGAATGTAATTAGATCTGGATTTTTTAAAATTTGTATTTAACATAAGTACTTGTTTAAAATTCATATTCTATTAGGCACGTAGAGGTGAATTAATCTCACCAGTTCGAGTATTTTTATTAATAATTTCAGTATAATTACATACTAACATTTGAAATTTTTCTATTTCTGTCTCTACAAATTCTTTTAATTCTAATATTATTTAGAAATTGAAAGCCAAATTAATTTAACCAACTAAAGCTTCATTTCTGTGCAATAATTTTAAAACGTAATTTTGAACTAGAGCTTAATTACGTGTAATTGGTGATGTTTCTACATTAAAATAATGAATAATTTATATATTAAAATGATTGATCAAATTAATCTGATTCTGAATTTTTAATGAAATATAAATTCCAAATATATTTTATATGAATTACTTCATTATCTTCTATAATATAAAATACAAAATTCTATATAATACAAAATTCTATGAAGCGCTTTATCATCAGTTTCTCATTCAGGTTGTTCCAAGAAGCACAACTCTGTACCTCCCCTCAAAGTTAGTTATCTCTTGTAGTCATTAACTTGCTATCAGCCTGCAACACGATACTTATTAATGAATACGTTTTATGAAATCTAAATAATCCGAAACCTATTATATATAATTATTTCTCACGAAAGAAAATTTCATATAAGAATAATCTTTGATGAAACGTTGAATAAGATGGTTCACTTCTTGATTAAGTTAGTCTTTTTGTAAAATTAGTTATAATTCGTAACGATGATCGTACTTTGCCAACCAGTCGGCTGGTGCATGTTCCTGGCATGCCATCAATTTTCGTCATAATTTTATTTGCTATGAATATTCATGAAGGGACGGAAATGTTGCTACGGAATTTTATTTTGGATATCCCCCTCTCCTCTTACGTTGTGCGTACAATGTTCATCTAGAAATATTCTTTGGCGAATTAACAATCACTTCTTATGCGTTATTACCATTGTCTAGTACAATTATTTACCAACTAATAATATTATTGAATTGACAAATTACTAGTTATAGATTATACATTTCTTTTTTATAAATTTATAATGTTATGATAAATAGGATCTTTCGCTTAGTAAAATTGTTAATGCTGATAAACTATAATTTGTAACTTGGAAACTTTCATTGATAATATTGGCTCATAATTGTGCAACAGCGCACAGACTGTGTCAATGTTAATGAAAAATATTAAATAACGCTAAAATTTCTGATATATTATGGTTAAGTTCGAGTTAGATTTTAATAAATTTATTTAGATGCGTCTGACAATGAATAAAAGAAAGTAATTCCATCGTTGAAATGTTGGTTTTTAAACGTAAAAGAAATAAAATGCAACGTAAATGAGGTTAGTAGAAAAAGGTGAATTTGAGGGATTTCTGTGAAATGAATTTTGTCCAACTTCCTGAATGAAGTTTTTAAACTTAGAGATTGCGTTCCTTTTTGTGCTTGAAGATAGCTTCGAGTTTCATATAAAAACAGGTAATTTTTTACCGCCCTTTGTAGTTATATTCAGATGAGAGGAAGCTAGAGATTATGGTCTATCCCAGTTCTTTGGACGAGCCTGCATGGAAAGGTTTGTGATATACAAGGTCATCCTTTGACGATGGACGGATTTCTCTGACAGTACAATAGAATGTCGAAGAATTTAGAATAAACAATTTTTAGAAAATAATTACTTCTTCGTTCTTAAAATTTCTTGTATTTTTGGTATCAGATACAAACTATGTAATACATACTTTCAACATTTCATAAGAAATAAATAATAATAATTATGTCGCGTATGTTGAAATGTTCGTAGCTTGTAAAATAAGAAAGAAATTGGGGGAATGACATTGAAACACAATTTACACACAAACATGTAATAATTGCAACAATATCGTTACGATGATTAATCTATAATTGCAAGTACGTAAAGTTATAAAATCGCCTAAAGTATCTTATTTCTCTTTCATATAATACATGCAGTAACGATTCAATTTTAATCAAACAATCACCATATGAGTACACGCAATGCCAGCGATTTTCATGACGAATATGACCTTGATGTTGCAAAGGAGAAATTTCGATTTTTGCGACAAATGAGTTTTCGAGGCTTAGGAGGGGAAGGTAACGTGCCACGCCAATCCCGTGTCACTCATAAAATATTTACGTAGCGTTTAGAGGGTAATAGAGACGGTAGTTGTAGCTCCTCGAGTTTCCTTCAAGGTTGATGTTGTTTCTACGTAAATGTCATAGGTGTACGCTCTAGCATGTCAATACAGTAGTTCAAAACGTTTGTTGTTCTAATTTTATGCTTTAGATCTGATCTAATCCTTTTTTTTTTTTAAATAAAACACGAAATTTAACCGAAAATTTCAATTGATTCTTAATTAGTAATTTAATTGATGAAATTCATTCGCGGGAAATTTAAATTAAAGACTATACTCCGAACTTCAGTTATATTTGTACCATTTTAAATACAATTATACAATTATAATTATATCACACATGTTAAAATTACGGTATTACAAACTAAAAAAATTATTTAACTTATATTATAATTAATTTTTAATTGTAATATATGTGAAAATCGATTTGTGGTATTATTAGTGTAACGTCAAACCTTTAAGGGTAAACCGGTAAAGTTAATTAAGTTTAAAAGAAATAGTGCTTTGTGCTTGGTAATAGTATTTAGTGTTTGGTATTTTCTTTTCGACTAATATTTCGTTTAAGTGTTCCAAGTTACTTAACTGCGTTTTCCTCCATTGAGGATGTAACTATCCGCAGACAAACGAGTTCGGAACTGTAGCAGAACCACCTGTACGTTTCACGGTAATTTGTCGAGTTTAGAACTTTCTATTCTTCAACCAGGATTTACCCACATTGCACGATGTCTGTCTCATTTGGGCAGACCGGATACATATGTTGTACGTATTACTCTTGTTTAAAGAAACATTTTCTTTGGTGTATCATTATGTTAACCGTATTGCGAGTTAACACTGATCTTACCAGGCCCGGTCAAATGAGCGGTTTCAAAATTTTATTTAAAATTCTACATTCATTGTTATTTCTTTTGTTCATCTAATTTTATGTAAACTCTTATATTATCCGATTAATCAATTTTTTAATTTATCTTAATTTACGTGTCATAAACTTTCTTGACTGTCTTTGCAGTAGCAGTTTCAATAAAATCTCTATCATTTTTTCTGCCTAATAGTTTTTATACATTAATAATGTTTCTTTGCTCAATTAACGACAGATGAAAGTCGGCTGCAGTCCAAACGTTTCACTTTTTGATAGCCATCGATATAGATAACTGACACGAGGTAGGCAACGAAGAGATGGCTTATTGTCTGATGTAGTCGATATTATTCAAGCACCGTCGCGAATCTCTATTTTAACACGTTTCCACGTGGTTTAGTTTGTACTAGCATAATCGACTTTCTAAAGCGACAAAAAACTTCCCTTTGTATCGTAACGATATGACAGTACATATACATATTTGAAATAAAACATTTCGAAAGAACGGACATGTTCGATCGATTGCTTGATCGACGTTGTTTCTGGTTGTTTCATAAATGGTGTAAGATGAATGGAAATGGATCGACGTATTCACTATCGTTCAAAAATATATGTACATACATATGTTGTGTATATATATATGTACAACATATTGTATATAACATGTTGTTTATTGTATATCGTACATCATGTTATACATATACATATATGTATATATATTTGCTTACTTTTGACAAGATATACAGTGAATTTGAAAGAACATTGATGGAAAAAATATTGGTTACTTAGAGATTTTTATAACTCTGTAGTATCGATAGTAAATTGTAAAATATTTTATTACTAGATACATCTTTTAATAAGTATGGTTAGTTTATGATCTGTTAATTCCATAAAAAGATAATGTCGCTTCTAATTGTCAATTTATCATTAATTTGTATACTTTGATCAAACTGAAGTACTGTTACAAATGGACTAAAGCTTCTGAAAAATTTTGAACGGTAGTGTACGTATAAAACGCTTTTGCGACTGGTATACTGATGATCAAAGTCGTGAATACACGATGTGATAGTTTTGTCACAAAATGTGTGGCTTTTAACTGCAGTTTTTTCCCGGCTAAACACACGTATACTAGATATCGACCGGCGTTTTATGCTTTTGCCAGCCTAAAAGTGTGTCACGACGATTACTATTTCGCGAGATACCATTGAGTTTTCGAAATTCTGCTGGAAGATTTCGAACTGACGAATGGATCTACTTTCAATCGATCATTTTACTGAAAAGAATGAAATAAGAGAGATATTAATATTTCGACCATTTTCTTTTTCTTTTTAACTGGTATTATTTTCAAAAATATTATTCTTCTATATTATTTAAATATTAAGTATTGTTTCTGACTTCAAACAACAGGTTGCCTGGTAAGATTGTCTCTAACATTCGTTTTTATTATTCTTTTATAAAATGTGTTTCAAAGTAACAGTTGAATTATAAGATGTCATTAATTATAATCACATTTTTTACTTATCCTCTTAAGCATCTTTTATAGGTCATTTACGAAATAATCTTCAAAAATATTCTTCACCTATCTTATAAAAGTATTTATACTCCTTTTCTGCTTTAAACAATAAATTATCTGATAAAATTGTCTCCAGCACACTCGTACATCATTATTATTTTTAAAGAGATTTTAAAACGGAAATTTCCTGCGGTTGTTTTAATCTGATGATATTAAAGGGTATTTAGATGTACAGCGGCTACAAACAATATTTACTTACCATTCATTTATCGTAGTATTTACATACTGA